CCTGTGAAGTTATTGTTAATTGCCTATCAAAATAAATACTTTAACTGTTCTTACTTTTTCTTTAAGTTTTTACTTATTTAGGATATCATAAATCTATTCTAAAAATTGGCTTTTTTTTTGATTTAAGAGATATAAAATTCATTAATTGGTTGGATTAATTACCAAAAGATTTTCAAAATGATTGCTTCAAAAATGTCATTTTTTATTCCTTGAAACAAAATTGTCAAAATAAGAATATATCAAATCTACAATGCAACAACCTTGAAGAGAAAGTTTATCTATGTGGATAATTCATAATTTTTTTTAAGTTTTTTTTTCAGATAAGTTATTTATTTATTTAATTTGGAATTAGAGTTTGTTTTCAAATAGCTACTTAAGAACATTATATTAAACTTTGATTTACCAAATCGTAATTTTTATTTGGATCTATATAGCAAATTAAACTGCAGTATTTCTTCATTAAAGTCAATATCAACTTTAACTTTATGGATGATGCAATATATGATATCATTTTTCTTAAATTTGAGCTTTTTTTTAAATTATCATAGCTAAACAACCAAACTATTCAGGATAGTTTAAATATCTTAATTATAACCAATCAATCATAGATCAAGTTTAGAGATGCTTCTAAAAACTCTTGTTGAATAATCACCTTTTAAAAACCTCTCATAATTAAGTATTTTTTCTTAAAGGAAAATATATGCGAAATTAAACTTTGAATGAAACTGCTTTATGAGAATACCTTCAACATATAAAATTACAAACTAAATGCAATTGATAGGTAGAGTTCTAATAACAATAAATTTTCAGGATTTATAAAATTATGATAAATAATTATTAGTGAATTATTATTTAATATCAATATAAATGCACTAATATTTGAAAGTTTATGAAATAGTTGATAAATAAAGTTTGAGTTAATTTATGAATATTATCATTTGAAATTTGAAATGGATACATCAAAACAAAGAAAGACATGATCGAACATTCAAATACAAATATTTAAAAGAGATTGTTGTTGCAAT